GAGAAATTATTTCTGATTTGATTTTTTCTAGAGCCTTGCTCATCTGTTTTGTTACTTCTGTTGTTACTACTTTGGAGAGTCCAGCTGGGTGCCTTTTGGATTGTTCCACCTCATTACCTCCTGGGTTTGCCTTTGGTGAGCTGGAAATCTGGGGTTGCTTCTTGTTTAAGTATCACTTCATTTTCTATTTCTTTTTTTAGCTTATTTCCTGAGCTGATTTTTGCAAATTGGTATCGCAAGTAGCTTTATTGCCAGTACTTAGAAAACTTAGGAAATGACTACTTTTGACAGATGTCTACCAGGTATAACTGGCTTTTGGGTTTTGAGTCTGTTGCAAGATCTTATGTCTTCAGTTTATTGGAGATGAGAAGTTGCTGCTTACTTGGCCCAACACCTGATTCTTTGGCACTGGCTGATAGTATTTTTTATGGCCTTTGGGCAAGCTCTATCTTTGTAGAACAGGAAGAACAACTGATTCGAAGAATTATGTCACCTCAGCTAGTGTGGTATAATCAGCAATAACAATAGCATCAAACATAACCTAGAAAATAGAAAACTCTGGTAACTATTAATTGGCTAGCTTTAACCATATGTACTAGATTTGTGGTTATATGACAAAATCTAAAGTGAGCCAGAAAACTGTGTGCAGTAAATAAGCCCTTGATTTGGCAATTTCACACTCAGGGGAGAAAATTTTAAAAGGGCTGGAGGATTGGGGGAATAGAGAAATAGAAGAAAAGGAAGAGATTAGAATCAAAGCTAGAGGACAAAGGAACTTTTGGAAGGTGGTGAAGAACACAGGAGGGAAAGAGAGAAGAAACAAATAAAAGCAAAAATATGACAGAGCAACAACATAAAAACTAGAAACCATGTTAACACTAATATAAAAATAAGAACAAATAATCAAGAAAAAACCAAACTGAAAGAGAGAGGAGAAAAGAAGAAAGAAGAAGGGGAAAGAGGAGGAGGAAGAGGAAAAGGAGGAAAAGGAGAAGGAAAAGGAGAAGGAAAAGAAAATAAGTCCACTTCAAGGTGTATTCTGCTGTCACTGGTAGACAAAGAGGGCAGACAGCATCCATATTCACTTTGATTAATCTCAGCAAGGCAGTCATAGGTTTGTAATGAGTTGATGGATAATCCCAGCAAGCCTGAACTTTTAGTTCCACTGAAGTTCAGGCTGGTTTCTGGCTGTGAGGCTGGAACCAGATGTGTTCAGCCTGCAACAGTCTATATGCCTCCGGAGCTCCCTGACCTACTGCTGACTTGAACTTGGCAGCTTCACTCTGTCACTGGGAGCCACTAGATGGGGCTTGCAGCTGTTCTGAGTTCTGAGCTCATTTGGATGCCTGTATCATTATTGGAATTGGAAACTACAGGCCCAAGTCTCATTCTCCAGGAATCCTAGAGAGCAGAAAGTCAGTCTCCAAACTGTGGATAGTACTGCTTACCTGCCCTGAGATTGCTTCCTATACAATTGCTGACTAGAGGTGCTAGCTGAATTGAAATGTGTGGCTTCTTTCAGTGATGACTGAGCTCATGATGTCAAGTTTCTGGAAGGATGAAGATTATGAGAACTTGTGCTAAATTGTTTTTTTCAGAATTCTTTAGGAATCTGCCTGACAATTCTACAGCCTAGTGAACTGTCAATACTAGAGGACTGAAGTGAAGGATGCAGGAAATTATGCCTGTTATCTTCTGTCATATTTGTGCATATTATGGTCTGTTTTGTTTACTTCCACTTATTTTATTAATACATGTGTGTATTGATCTTAGAGAGTAGGTATATGTACATAACACATCCTGATACTTTTTATTCCCCTTATACTTCTCACCCACCTCCTTCTGACTAAACCTCTAAACATATAAATTTTTTAACCAATTTTTATTTTAAAAACTACTTGTAGTTTTCTTTGTTGTTTCTGTAGTGCTGAGAACTAGATCCAGGACCTGGAATGTGCAATTCAATCTCTCTACCACTGAGCTACATACTAACACTACAGATTGCTTTGGTTTTTGATTGTTGATAAGATTTTTAAAAACCAGAACATGCCAGTCCTGGTGCTATATGCCTGTAATCCCAGCATTTGGAAGGTTGAGCCAGGAATATTGCCATGAATTTGAAGCCAGCCTGAGCTACATGGTGAATTTAAGGCCAGTCTGAACTACATAGAGAAACCTTGTCTGAAAAAAAAACAAAAGAAAATAAAAAGAACACAAAACAATAATCCAAGCATAATAGAAGGTGGCACATACATACTCCTTACTTTTTTACTGTAAACTTTTACTTTACTTTAATAGTAACCAGCTGTGCATCTCAGTACCTTTCCTGAGGTTACAGGAAGCAATCTTTGTATTTACCTACCTGGTATGATGAAAGGCAAGGTGTGTACACTGTGCAAAAGTGTCAAACCAGGATCTGCACTACATTATACTCTGTGATACAAGATGCTGTAAAATACACAAAGGCTGAAGTGCAAGTAAAACATTCTCTGCACCAATAGCTATATTTAAAAATGTATTTATTATGATAACTCATTAGATGAACTGAAAGCATTCATATGGCTGCTGTATTTTGCAAGGATTTCTCATGGTGATTGAAAGAATGTAAAAGAACTATGGAAAAATGATGGGTCAAAATATGGCATAAAAACTTATGGTCTTATAGATGCAAAGACACTATGCTTTGAATTTAGACATTTATTCTGGAACTCAGCCATCAGGTCCTCATTCTCATAGTAATAAACCAAATGATGTTGTGAACAGATTTGTTGCTCCCATCTACCAAAGTAATTGTAATGTGACATTCGAAATTGGTTTACCAGTTTCCAATTGTGTTAGTTACTTTTCTCTCATTACTAAGACAAACTACCCCACACCCAAAGTTAAAGGAGGTAAAGTTTATTTAGCTCACAATTTATAGAGGGTTCAGTCCTTAATTGGCTGGCTGCAAGGCATAGTGGCTTGGCAGAGGAGCATTCCAGAGGAGAAACAGTTCATGGCAGCAGAAGACATCAAAACAAGCCAGGGAAGACAGAGACAAGCCTCTCTCTGTCCCTTATATTGTATCCAGTCTACCAGAAATAGGGTGATGCCAATCCAATCAGTGTACTGATCCAGCAATCACCCACCTTTAATCCCAGCACCTCAATCCCAGCATTGCAACACCAATCCATCACACACTCTATATTACACCACCTCTGAAAAATGCCCATCTAAAACTTCATGAGGCTTTGGTAGGACATCTAGACCCAAACCGTAACAGCAATTGATGTTACATTTGCTAAAAGACCTCAAGTTGATTAGTACAGGAACTATCCACAAGAATAAAGCAGAAATTCCAAATGAAATGTTACAATTTCAAAACAGAGAATTGTATAATACAATCTTTGGATTTCAGAAAGGTTTACACTGACCTCATACATGGCAAAGAAAAGCAAACTAATGCTGCTGATGTCAACATTACACCATGATGGAAATACGGATGTGGAAATTTTGACAAAACATAAGCCTGAAATGGAAACTTTCTACAGCAAAACCAAAGGTGGAGTAGATGTTGTTGATGAGTTATGCCACAACTATAATGTCACTTGAAACACAAAGCTTTTGCCAATGGTTGTGTTTTTGCTCAGTCCTAAACATATATGGAATAAACATTTTGATAGTTTACAAGGAAAATAACAAGTGCAAAATACCATGGAGAATTTTCTTAGAGGATTTGCACTGGACCTCATAAGAGATCATTTACAACAGAGAAAAAACTATGCAGAAAAATTGTGGACCATACCAGTGAGCTGACATGTGAACAGGCAAACACAGCATCACAAAGACCTACTAAGAAAACCAAAGAAATGTCAACTGTGGCCTACAATACATGAGAGAAAAACAAATCTACATGCTATCAGTGTAAGTGATACTTGTATATGGAATATGAAATTTTCATGTGTGAAGACTGCTTTGGGTATGAAATTGAAGCAATGATTACTTTTGTTGTAGACTTTTACTGATATTTTCATTGTAGTTCCCATAGGTTTTTATATCAGATGATATCACTTAGGTTTTATAAGCAAGTAAACAGCTGGTGTGAAAATGTTGTTTACTCTGTGCAGTCATTACACATTTGATATTTTATTTCATTGATATCTTATTTCCCTGCAAAGCGCACATTGTACAACATAGTAGGAAGATCCTGACAAACAGAAAGGAAGAGTGGTGATAAGAATGGCTTGCCACGTAGGAAAGGAAACCTAAGCACATGTGCTGTCAGTGTAAGCAAGACGTGTGCATGGAACATGTAGTTGTCATGTGTGAAGACTGCCTTGGATGTGACAAATGAAGCAAATATTCTGTCCATGAAGGACTTTTGTATGTGTTTACATTGAAGCTCACATAGGTTTTTATTTCTGATGTATCTCTTAAGCTTTTTAAGCAACAGAGATGATGTGAAAATGTTGATGTCTATTTTAAGCTCTCATTACACATTTGATATTTTATTTTATTAACATCTTATTTTCTTATTATTTAGGTGTGATAATTGAAATAAAGATTTTTCTGTAGAGTGCCATTGGTATTTTCACTTTAGTTCATGTATACCTTTATTTCTGATGTTATCTTTTAGGTTTTGTAAGAAGTACATGGCTAATGTGAAAATGTTGGTGTTCATTCTAAACATGCAATATGTATTCAGAATTTAATAATTTATTCTATGGATATTTTATGTTTCTGTTAAGTACAGATTGCATAATATAATAAGAACCTCCTAACAAAACAACAAGACCAGCCACATGTCAAGTATGTCCTACAAAAAGGTGAGGAAAGCAAAAAACATGTGCTGTCAGTATAAGTGATATGTGTGTATAGAATGTGCTGTTTTCATGTTTGAAGACTACCTTAGGTGTGATAATTGAAGTAAAGATGTTTTTTGGTAGAGTGCTATTGGTATTTTCATTGTCGCTCATATAGGAATTTACTTCTGATGTTCTTTTTTAGACTTTGTACACCAAACAACCTGTTCATGTTGGAAATTTTGATGCTTTTTAGTAAATTCAGTACATATTAAAAATACCATACTTTATTTTTGTGATTTTTTTCCTGTTAAGCACTCATTGTTTAATATAATAAAGCTTATAACTTAGAATTCATCAACAGAAATATTCTAAAGAATACACATGGATATGACACTCCCATGGTTATGCAGTGAAATGACAAAACCTGTGTTAAGCTTTGATAATAAAAAAGTGAATTGCTGTTTGATGGTATGGCAATTAGGGTGGAATATCAACGTGACTGGCTCTTCCAGGGGTGTGTGGAGGGGTTAGCAGAGTTTATTTCTAGTGTGTTTGTGTAGGTCATGAAGGTGCGACCTTGTGTTCTATGTCTAGTCCCTGGCCCCTTCCTCTCTGGCACTGTTCCTCTTCTCTGCTTCCCAGATACCATGAACTAAGCAGCTTTGTTCTACCATGCACTGTCTGCCTTGATGTTATTGCCTTGGAGCTAGCTGACCATGGACTGAATCCTCTGAAGGTATAAACCAAATTAAACCTCTCTCTTTTAAGCTGTGGGTGTTGGGTATTGTGTCCTACTGACTAGTAGAGATGGTTTTAATACCTGGCCCATATCCTTGGGATAAAAGAAAACTAGCAGAAGCATTTTAGATTTCAGAAGAGCCTCTTGCACAGAAATGACTCAACCAATCAAATTAAATAAAAACTTTACATAAACATAAGGCTAGATGAACTCTAGAAGTGCCCATAGGGTCAAAGGTAACAATAGTTTTGGAGTGTACAGCTCCTAGAGATGGGTGATACATGGATGGGCTGCAGATGGAATCAAAGTATGTCAGAGGTTGGAAATCCCTGGGGTCAGTGAGTGACACAAAGTAGGGTTACAGTGACCATCTACAGTCAGGTGTGGAAGAGTGCAAAACGCTTGTCTGCACGCTGGAGATCTGAAGGATCCAGTCAAATGTCAAAGGCCTGGAGCTCCCTGTAAGTCCATAACAGAAGGCTAACTGATCTGGACTGGACCAGGAGACAATGTCCAAAGTGAAGATTGGAGCTCCTCTGAAGAAAAAGAGTGAACCTTCTATCTTTTTTCCTCTTTTACTCCATTCAGGCTGGGTGGGTGTTCTGCCTTCACTAAATCTCTTCAGCCACACCCAGGACTACACTGATCCAATTGAGTTGGGCGTTTCTTCCTCCACTCGACATAATCAGTTAATTATCACATCTATCATGTTTTCCCTATTGCTCTGACTCTGTGTTCGGTATCACACACCACATGCCAATTTCTGCTTTAAAATCCTGTCAGTACAGTCATCCAGCACCCCTTCACCAGGCATTCTTTCCATTCAGGAAGACAATCTATCAAACAGAACCTAGTCAAAAGGGCATTGTTTATTCAGTGGTGCACCTTCCCAGTAGGATCCAATGTTGAATTCTTTGTAAACTGATTTCCTCATCCTTGGTTCCTTGCTGTGAGAGGAGCAAAGGTGAAAATCCTGAGTGTATATCAGTCTTCTAGAGTTAGGCTAATCCCATGCATACTGACCACATAGAGGACACTCCCATTTTAGTCATTTATTCAGCAAATATTTGGTGTTTGACTACTTCGGGACGTACATTGTGCTAAGTGGTGTGCATTTAGCACTAGCTAGACAGATCCCATCTGTAACTTGATGGTGTTTTTTTTTTTTTTACTAGGAGAGAGGAACACAAATTTCATTGCAATTTTTGGGAATGCTTTGAAGAAAAAATATAGAATGTTAGAGCATTTATTAAGTGGACTGGATTGAGAATGAGGGTAATTTAGCCTCACCAGAGTGAATAAAATTTGGTCAGGCCCAACTGACAGAAAGTAGGTGTGGAGACATGGGCATGGGAGGGACAGGAAAGAGAGGGATGATGGGAAAATGGAAGGAACACCTTCTCACGGCAGCGTGAACAATGATCCCGTACACAGATGCTGCAGGAGACTGAAGGCTGGATGAAGCCTTGGAACAAAAAGGAAATGAGCTTAAAACTGAGATGGAAACAGCGTGGTTGGGGGAGTAGCAGGTTTATGTGGCTCGAGGTTTGTAGAGGACTCAGTCTATAGTCAGCCGGCTCCAAGGCAGAATGGCATGATGGAGTGGTTTAGGTGGGGGAAAACTGCCTCAGTCTTGGCACCCGGGAGGTGCAGAGGGCAAAGGGAGGAGCCAGGGAGGGAGATAAACTCCTCCAGGCCATGCCGCCAGAGTCTGCCTCTTGGAGCAGACCCTACCTCCTAAGAGTAAGTCAGTTATAACTCCATAACAGAATCACCCCCCAAAGCCACCCTGTGAGTGCATGAGGCTCTTGGGGGACATCAAGGTATAAACTATAATATCTAATTTGGAGGACAAGAATGTAAAAGTCAGAAGTTAACTTTAAAGTAAAACCATCATCAACTATCATGGTTTCTTGCTACGGAGATGAATGGAAATTAACACCGAGACAGCAGGCCCAGTTTAAAGGCAGAAGCTTTAATGGAAAGTGGATAGGGGAGAGAGTGGATAGGGGAGAGAAAGTGGATAGGGGAGAGAAAGTGGATAGGGGACTTCAGCCTGAGGAGAAGAGCAGCTGGTGTGGGCCATAAGATGGAAATCAAACATGGACTACTATTAGCATAAAATAAAAGTTGATTATAGGAAGGAAACACAGTTGTCTGTCCCGTTGGCAGCCTCAGCAAGAGAAGTTGGCTGCTCCACAGACTGAGCCCCTAACCAAGGATACACTTCACTTTTATGGGGTCTCAAAGAAAGTTATTAATTAGTCATAGATTTTTTCCAAAAGAGGTAGGGGCTTTCAGACAGGGTGGGGAACTCCCAGACAGGGTGGCATTTTTGTTACCCACACCCTGAAGTATGTTTAGGACTGTGGTGGGTCCCTGCTTGGGGTGGAGATTTAACAGGGAAATGAATTATTAGGAAGGTGTAATAAAGTTCAGGTTCTGCTCTTGGTCAGATCTATGGCCATCTTTGCTTATCCAGCTTGTCCACAATCCCACCTTCTTATCTCAAGCACTATACTGCATGCCTGGCAGAATAAAGCATCCACCCTGACACACGGTGAAGGAACCAACCCCTGGGTGACACCAGGGGGAGCTACCTCAAAGAGCACGCATACTTACAAGCCCTAAACAATACAGCTGGAGCACTTTCAATTTGTCCTTTGATTTTTTTTCTCTTTTTCAAAAAGTTAAGAAGCAGTTTCTCAAGTCTCTTGATGGTTGGTTTAATTCTGCACTGGCAATGCTTCCCTTCTTAAAAATGGCTATTTTAGTGGGAATCAACTGCAGCTTGTGATTTTGGAAATATGGTGATCCCCCACCCATTGCATAAGTTATGTTCCAGAGACCCCCAAGATAAGTGAAAATCCACGAAGTAAGGTATTATATTTATTTATATATGTGTGTGTGTTTTAAGGCTTTATAAACCCTTTCCACACCCCTATAAACCCTTCCCACACTCCTGCACACCTTCCAGGGGAGACCATTCTTCTCAAAGCCTCAGCTTCCACCTGCAGCAGTGCCTGGGAACGCCCAGGTGAAGTGCATCTCAGCTCTGAGAGCAGGAAGGGAGGACTGGGCAGGTGGGAATGGAGGGCGGAAAGGCTCAGGGGCTGGGAGCGGTGCCGCATGCCCTCCTGGTCTATAAGCAGCACCCACTCAGTGTGTGTCCAATCACAGGGCCAGGTGGCTCTGCTGGGCTCCGGCTGGTGGTAGTGGTGGCCTGCATTTCCATTGTGTACAGTACAGTAATTCATCTGCTGATGAAATACATACTGTACAGTATGTTATTTTGATTTAATATTCTTTTAATATGCTTGAATTAACATTTTTAATATTTTTATATTGTTTTAAAACTTTTTGGCAAAAATAATTGAAATCATAAATATTATATAGCTACCTATATACCACAAAATCCCATGATATAACGAAAACTCCACCATGCAGTATTAGATATATATTTTTTTAAATCCTGCAATACAGTGAAGCCACAATAAGTGAGCCACAATATAGGGAGGGGTGACTGTACACTGTGGAGTTGGAAATGTGAGTTTTTGGAGGAGGTATGTATGCACATCAGTAAGGGTGGCTAGTCCAGCCCAAGCCATATTCCAGTCCCTCTCCAGATAGCAGCTGCCTCAGGGGATGTCCTGAAGACATATAAAACCAAGAGGCATTAAAAGGAGCACCTTTTCTCCTTGTTTTGCAGATGGGAAACTCAATGTTGAATTCCTTTACTCTCTTGGACTGTATTCTTAAGCACTGGAAAATGTTCAACTTGTATTTTGAGGAGGAGCTGTTTAATATTTTTCTGCATCCATGCATGGCCTGCCTATTCCCTGGAGGTGAAGTGCAATGCAGAGAGAAGTGTTGATTATAAAGCTATTTTACAACTGGAGCTATACTGTAAGAGAGAGAAAATGGTCAAAGGTACCTTATGTTCAGACTTTCTTTGCATTGAGACACAATCCTGACTTGTGTTCAAAGTGTAGATGTAAACTGCCAGAAAACCAGATGCCTCTGGTTCTTAAGCTTAAATCTGATGCATCTACTATTACTGAGCCTGAAGTTCCCCTCCCTTGGCCTCCATGCCGTAAGGACCAGACTTCAAGCCAACACTAAATGAAACCTCTACTGGGCTATATCCACCTCTACCTGATTTTGTTAAAGCTCCCCAACAATAATTCCCTTATAGGAGGTGGACAGAGAATTTGGCCCTACATGAATCCATAAGTCTTTTGCTCTCAGTGACTTAAACAAGGTCTGAGAAAGTTTCCAGACAATACTGATAAGTACACTGAGGGCTTTAGGGGACTTACTCAGAACTATAAACAGGACCAGAAAGATAATGATGTTGCTCTTAGTAAAACATTAACTTCTAATGAGAAACAGGCAGCATTACAAGCTGTTGTTACATTTGGAGATGAATATCATATTGTTAATTTTTAAAGACCAAAAGATAGATAGCAAGGGGAAGAGCCAGTTCCTACTGGAGCCCAGGCAGTACCTATACAAGATCCCTACAGTCTGTCCCTTTAGAGGGAACAGTTACATGTGGCTACCAGAACAGCAATAGTGGCTATCAGCTGTGGCTAGGAAATAACTATGGCTACAAAAAGAACAATGAGGGGCTGGAGATTTAGCTCAGCGGCAAAGCACCTGCCTGGCAAGCACAAGATCATGAGTTCAGTTCCCGGTACCGGAGAAAAACCAAAAAAAAAAAAAAAAAAGAACAATGAGAAGCCTGTATAGCTCCCTTTTTAAAAATAGTCTTTGCCTTCACTTTTGTTTAAAAAAAAATGTTTTTTTCCTTCTGATTCTTATTCAGAGATCTCTGTTAATTGATGACATATAAGAAAAGTTCTGACTAGTCTATTTATAGTTACAAACCTGAAAGCTGTAAAAGTGTTGTTGCAGTTCAATTTGGCCAGTATATCTGAGAGTACACTCTGATTTTAAATAATTATTTTGTGTTTTTATATGTTTGTCCATCTCTGGGTTCAGTGTGTGTTCATGAGCATTTAAAGCTCCTGTAGCTGCTTCATTTAAGAAAAATAGTTTTTGAGTTCAACCATTTTTTTTTAGTTCCTTTTGAAATTTCCATGGAAAATTATTTGTATAGGTTTTCAGGGTACCCAAACCTATTTAAAACATTAACAGATGAAGACTGATAGCCTCAAGTCTTACATAGGAAAACAAGTCTTAAATTTTGATAACAAAGGTCACATATGATTTAGATTAATATCTCTATTTCTATGTGTTAACTTTTAAGTGTACATTGTCCTCCAAAAGTTTTACCTGCATTGGCTTATAGATGAATAAATACCCATGAAATTTCAGATACTTGTGGTTCAAATAGTTTAACAGTAGGGTAAGACTGAAGAGGTCTTTAAAGTTGTTAACATATTTCCATCCAGGTTTTAGATAACCAAGATAATATGAAAAAATCAGCCTTAAAAATGCAATGTCTATTATTGTCTATGTACCATAATTTAAGAGTTTTTCTTAAATAATTGTTTTTGGCTATAATTAAAAGGTTAAAATTTCTATTTCAAACAATATGGTTTTCTAAAAATATTTAAGTTCTCTTGATTAAAACTAGATTATAAAACCCTTGATTATAAAACTAGATTAAAAACAAAGGCTCTATATTTTATTAAAATAGTATTTTGTGTTCTCATTGTTAGGCTTTTGGTTACTAAAAAGTGAGCTTTAATTTTTAGCAGCATTTGAATGTTGACCTATGTCTCAGTTACTTTTTCCTCATTGCTAAGGCAGAATACCTGACACACAAAGTTAAAGGAGGAAAGGTTTGTTTTGGCTCACAGTCTGCAGAAGTTTTACTTCATAGCGGGCTGATTCCAAGGCAGGGTGGCATGGCAGAAGGACATTGCAGAGCAGAAACAGTTCATGGTGGGAAGAAGGCAGCAAAGCAGTGAAGTAGTGAGGAAGCAGCAAGTGATGACAGCAGCTCTCTGTGTTCCTTTTATTCTATCCGGGCTATGTGCCTATGGGGCAGATGGGACTTACATCCAGGGAAGGTCTTCCCATTATCCACAATCAGAACTATGTCAAACCAATCAGTGGACTAATTTAGTGATCACACACACCTTTAATCCCGGCATCATACACTTAATCCCAGCATTACACACTCTAGATCCAATCATCTCTGAAAAGCCCCACTGTTATGGTTGATACATTGTGTCAACTTGGAGAGTCTAGAGGTTTGACTAAATGATTCAGCAGGGAGCCAGGGTGCTTACTTTGTGTACATCCTGAGCCTGTGGAAGAGGAGGGCATGGAGAGTATGTGCGTGCTACGTGCCCCCTGGGTGGGGGTAGCCTGTTTACAATGTAAGGGAGGGAAAGAGGCTGCTTGCTGCCATTCCTCCCTTTTGCTTTTGCTGTTTTGCTGTGGTCTGCCGCCATGAATGTTTGCCTTCTGCCATGTATCACTCTGCCTCGGAGCCAGCTAAGTATGGACTTAAACCTCCACAAACTGTAAGCTAAATAAACCTTTCCTTCCCTAATTTTGGGTGTCTGGTATTTTGTCCCAGCAATGAGAGAAATGAGAGAAAAATGAGAGAAAAGATACCCACCTATGATCACATGAGGCTTTGAGAGGACATCTAGACACAAGCTATAACAACATGTGAATTCTTTTTAGTGATTAATTTGTTTGGATGACGAGCTATTACCTTAGTTTGTGACATAGCTTATACCATATATATATATATATATTCTGTAAACACCTATGCTGTGAGCCTAAGCTTTGAAGTTAAATTTATAGAGTTAAGACTACATAATTTTAGTACATGCAAAATAACTAATAGGTGCTCTCTTTTATATGTTTTTAGACCTTAGACATTTAAAGTAATCAAAATTTTACATTGCTTTAAGTTTGATCCTGACATTTAAACTTGATCTACATTTGTTGGCTTTGATCAGACAGGTATTTTTGTTGTTGGATAGATGAGATACAATTGTGTATTAGGCAGTGGGTTTATTTGTGCTCATTAAAACTGTTTCCTAAATTTATCAGAACTGTAAAGATGTCTTTACTTCTTTTTAATATGGTTACATGTTATAAAACCTGTTGAAGGAGTCTAAAATTTGTCTTAAGAGTGGAAACTAAATGTACATGAAGATTTCTATGTGGCTTCTATGTCAATTCTTTCTAACCTCACAGTATATTTAGTGGTATATTTGTGTTTCACAAGTATTCAGTCCTTCAAAGAATCAGGGCTGAAAAGACATCTTATTACACTGATGACTTATAGCTAAGGTTGTTTATGATGATAAACTTTTTCAGGCTCAAGCATCTGGTTTTCCCTTACTTCTGTCCCAGCTGTTTGTGATGAAATGTACACGCTATGAGACAGTCTGCCAGGTGATGTGGATACTTTTTGAAGGCTTGTGCTTTATGATTGTTATGTGTTTGTCTTGTATGTGTTGTAACACTTACAGATGCTCAGAAGCTGTACAATCTGGGCAGTGTCACTCTAACAGTTGAAGGTTGGACACTGATAACCTATAAGGTATATCTATAGAGGTGCATTCTTCTTAGGTGACACTCTATTAAAGAATGACAAATTTAGGTAAAAGTTCTTCATGTCATAAAGACAATAGACTAAAAGCTTATTCTGTACAAAAATGGACATTTAAATGTGTTTCAGGATAATAATAAATGTAATAGTTCTAATATTATAATGTCATCATGATTGTTATGCTAAAATGTTACATTTCCCTTGACCTTGTTTTCTCTGTACAAGTTTATAATTGTTATTTGTTAACATTCTGCAGGGATTCATCTTCTAAGACAATAATAACTGGTAAGGAAATAACAATACCCTAGTCACATTATATATTTCAACTGTTCTCCTAGAGTTCAACAGCTGAGGTTTGAAGACCAGAGCTAGAAAGACAACTGGGCTAAAAGGACTGAATATTTTGTCCCTGCACCTCTAAGACCAACAAGGACCCAGGACATAGGTGGCTTTTTCTAGAGGATCCTACAATTTTGGTGAGTCATCCAATCTCCTGTGCAGGGAGATTGTTGTACAAGTACAGTGTGCTAAAAAGGAGGGATACCAGAGAAAAAAAAGTCTGCATACTCCCCCAAAAGCCACATGGTCAAACATGATTGTGGCTGCTGACACTGAGAGAGCAGCTGAGAGACTCTGTACATGGTTCCAAAAGTAACCCCTGAAAAGCCTTCACTGACCTTTATAGATAACAAGAGGTTAGTTTTGATTAAAACAGGTTTCACTCTAACTTGATCTTAAACACACAGGAGAAAAGTATAACCAAAAGATGTATAAAAATAATACCATTGTAATAATAGCTAGATATAGAAAGGGGGCTCCAATCACTGACCCCTGCTGGCAATTTCTAGCTACAGTTGTAGCTGACCATTATTGTGTTTCAGTGAGAAACTATAAAAGCTGAACAAGAGTCTGTAAACTCCTTACCTAAAACTGTCCTTCAAAAGCATCAACTAGGGGGGCTGAGGATTTAGCTCAGCGGCAAAGCGCCTGCTTGGCAAGCACAAGGTCGTGAGTTCGGTTCCCAGTACCGGAGAAAAACCAAAAAAAAAAAAAAAAAAAAAAAAAAAAAAGCATCAACTATGTATCTTCTGACAGTGAAAACTGGAGGCACTTGTGACAAAGAAATATTGGATTTACAGAAAACTTCCATCAGTAGAGAGAATCTAGGAGACTGTTGGTTACAGTCACTATTCTAACACCTTAAAAGCAGTGTCTAAGTGTGGCACTTCTGCCTGGTGTGACTTTCTATTCTAATGCTCAGGCTTTGGCCATATGTCCTTTAATCTCTTGGAAAAATTTGTTTATTCTCACTTAAAGGCTGCCAAATTCCAAAGGATCATGCAGATGGAACCAACAACAAATATGCCAGGCTTATTTTACCAGGATCCACCAGGTCAGCCCTGTTAAGGGAGTTCATAACTGCTAAATCCCAACATGACTTCTATCCTAGGTCTTCTGGAGAAGGTCCTGACTGTAATCTACCCTACACCAACCCTTCTCAGCTTGAAGCAGCTAGATTGAAACTATACCCATTCTCCCTAATCACAAGTATGGATAGCTCTTTAGGGGTGGGGGTGTTATGATTTGTGTCTCGATGTCCCCCCAAAGCCTCATGCAGTCATGTGGACAGACTTTTCAGAGACATCTGAATCTAAAGTTTGTGATTGATTCATGGTTTAATGCTGGGATTAAGGGTGTAAGTGCTACACCTGCCCTAGGGAAGGTAGCTTTGCAAACACTATAAAGGGAAAGAAAGGGGCTTGTTCTCCCCTCCCTTCTTGTTGCTTTTGATATCTTCCCCTGCCATGAACTGTTGCTCCTCTGCCATGTGCCACCCTGCCTTGGAGCCAATCAGTTTTGGACTGAAACCTGTACAAACTGTGAGCTAAATAAACCTCTTCCCCTCTAACTTGTCGTAGCTGGTATTATGTCCCAGCAGCAAGAAAAGTAATTAAGACAGGGATATTAAACGCAGCTCAGTTAGATGGAATTTAATGTATAGTCAGAGAGGGACTGGGCTCTCAAGGAAGTCAGTGAGAAATAAAGATATCAGATTTGTGGTTGGAGGTACAAATGAAGGCCAGGTATCAAAAGAGATACTGATATGGCAAAGGGGACCAAATCTACACCACTTTGTACTCTAGTGCCATTTTATGTTTCTTTTTTTATTTTATGTATTTTTTGGTACCAGGAATCAAACTCACGACCTGGCGCTTGCCAGGCAGGTGCTGTGCTGCTGAGCTATATCCCTGGCCCCTCTAGTGCCATTTTAAAGCTTAAGTTCCTGTTTCCTTAAATTTGTTTCTTGTAAATGTTGTCATAGTTACCTAACCCCATACCACCCTGTGCTTTGTCATAAGACTGCTTGTTTCCTACGTAAAATGTCAAACACCTTTGTTCCTTTGTCACAACTAAGCCCATGTTTTGCAGAAGTTTTTTTGTGTGTGCACTAAATCTTATCAAAAAAACCCTTAATCACTCCCCTAGACTTGGTACTAAAACTGTATAAATATTCTCCCCTCCTGCCCTTCAGGATTGGTGCTCGGTCATATACAGGGTGCCCACTGCAGGCTAATAAACTTGCTTGTCTTTGCTTCAAGCCTCTGTGGGTGACTCAATTACATAAACATGTTTGCCACAACAATACAGAGGCGAGGGCTACATGCCTCCTTAAGGAACAAACAGTAACTTGAGATTGTACTATAATTAGCACAACTTGGTCCAGAAAGTCTAGATAGGCATCAGTCACCCAGGTGGTTGACCACAGCATCCAAACCCACTCTATCCAAAAGTGTCTTGCTGTTTCCATGTACCCTTGCTATGTAACTTGTTTCCCTATTGAATCAATATTAGCTAAGCAGCTATACTTGTAACCCTATAGGTGGGTTGTAGTTTGACCCATGTTGTACCCACATTGTGAATTTGCCGTGTAAATTATCCCTGACAAAGGACCTTGGTAGCAACCTGCTTTTGTGACTGCTTGCATCTCTCAGGAGCCCTCACAGTAAATCCTTCCTACTTTTAACAACTGTGGTTCTTTGGAATTCATTCTTTGATGTCAGGGGATGTGAAATTGGTGCATATGATATCTAGCAGGTTGGGAGTTATATTTCTGCTATATCACAAGGCAGAAATAGCATGACAGAGTACAGAGTAGATGAAAAACTGCTCACATCATGATGTGATGGAGACCACTATGAAGCAGCCCTGAGCAGGACTTAAGTTAAGCAATTGACTTTCCATGTTTACCTGTGAGTCTGTCCAAGGCCTAGGCTCCTTGTCTGGAGATGGGCAGCGGACTCATAGTAAGTGAATCTCTGTGGGTCACTAATCCCTACTAAGGCCTGGAGTGGCGGATAAAACCAGAAAGCCTCAAAGGATAAGACAAGATCACAGCCAAGGATACCTGGATCTAATCTCAACTGGATAAAGACTATAGCCGCAGGCATCTCACTCCTGGGTATATTAACTTAATACCTTACTTGGAGAAGTCCTTCAATGGTTCTACCCTGCTTGAGTGCTCCCCTCCCTTCTTTTGATAACTAAATAAATACAGGCCACCCAGAGAAGGTTGTGGGTTTTGCCCTGAGAGAATCTTGAATTCAGTGAGAGGGCTTTGATCCTCCTGGAGCCCTGAAATCATTCCATTTGCTTCTTTTTATTTAGCCTTCACCATACACTCGTTTGGGAGACTGCAGACCTGATCAGCCTGCAATAACTAAGAGATATTATTTACCCAATAGTGGTGGCCAGGAAGTATAGAGAAAAAGGAAGCCTGGAGAGGAAGATGTACCCTCCCAGGTTGTGCCCCATCTCTTCTGTCCAGAGCCCACCACCTAATAGCACATTTATATGATTATATTCAGGTGATCCAGTCACCTTCCAAATGCATGAGGCTTTGGGGGAAATATCCCAGATCTAAACCATAACAAAGCTAAAATTAGATTTTTGCTTCTCATTGTATTTTCAAGTGTTCTGAATCTTAATGCTCACATTGCTTACCTAATGGTTAATATTACTTCCTTTATGACATTCCTGTGGGGAATCATGGTTATTTTACCATTGTTTCTTGAAAGACCACATTGCAGCTGAGTGATGTGTCTGTAGTAGAACATTAGTTGTCCACCTTTTTAAGCTATGCACAAAAACCAGACATACATCACTAGATGATCTAACCATTTGTCATATTTGAAAGAATACCATTTCTTCCTGTATTCCAATATAACATCAGAAGTCCCTTACCAGTACAAACATACATATTTTATTCTGATCCCCTTGACCACTGACATTAGTCAATATTTACACATTTGTCAACTAATTTTACTCAGATGGACTGTTTCTGGTAATGTCAAGGGCACTGAACCCTGTTGAACAAAAGCAGTACATCCGTCTTCAGAACAACACCTGGCTGTCCTCAGAACTGAAAGGGACAACAATGGAACCATGTGATCTGATGAAATCATCCTTGGGATGACATTTCCAGATTCCCTCCTTACATTAAAATCAAATACAACAATGTCAACCTTTCCCCTGATGTTGAGGTCCTCTCTTGGACTTACCTGCTGCCCTCTTGCAGTGTAACAATAAACTCTTACATTTTCTACATTTCTTGACTATTAGTGGTAAATTCTTTTTACCACCTGCAGCACCAGCCTTTCCCATACTGCACCTTACTTGACAATTTCTTCTGTCAATTTACCCTCCTATACTCAGATACTTACTATTCCTTATAACCTGAATAAAATCTCCAGAGTTTGGACAAAAACAACA